CACTTAGCTATTTTGCCTCAATACCTTCCTATTAAATATATAATTAAAGAGAAGTATTCCATGTGCTTTCATATAACAGCAACACAAAAAGTACAAAAACTCTGCAACTACACTTAGGAAAAAAAAATGGTGATTACTTTTACTAAGGTACGTAAAACAAAAGCAATCCTATATCAGAGGAGAAAAGTAAACTAAGGCCAGCCAACTATTTGCAAATCCCAAAATTACTATGAAGAGATGACCATACTTACTTCCAATCCCTCTCCTCCCTCCAAGAAAAAAGCATAACATATTAATTAAATCAGGTTGTCAGATAACAAAACTGGAAGATAATACTTGGTCAAAAGCCATTCAAAATGATGTTGCATAAATATACTTATTGGCATAAAAAATTTACAAGTGGAAAGGTAGGGATCCATTGTATATTTTTAAATATATACAAACAAAAATGTGATGGAAAAGATTCGGAAGTTATATCTCAAAATACAAGCGATAGTTATCACTGAAGGAGTGATTATGAGTGATTTTTATTTTCTTCCTTTTCTTGCCAGTATTATGATTTCTCCAACACATGTATTATTTTTACACAAAAATGAAAGTTAAAAATAATGTTGCAGTATTATTTTAATTTAAAAGTTTCAATTTTCTCTTCCACTATTGTATTCTTGGCAAATCTTAGAAAAGGGTTCCAGGGGTATGAGATAACAATACCTGGTAACACAAGAGTTCTCTTAAAAACAAAGCCTACTTGAATATCGCCCTAAAAATACATACGTACACACACATACATACACGCACTTGTGTATATGTGTTTTCAACAGTTACAGTAAGGCAGAATCTCCAGATCTAGACTTCGAAGACTCAAATTCCAGCTACACCACTTACTGGCTAAATGATTTTTGAGCAAATTCTGTAACCTCTCTGAGCAAATTCTGTAACCTCATCTATAAAATGGGTTTCCTGCTAGTTACTGAATTAAGTTAATTATTTAAGGCACTCAAGAGAGCTATTATTATTATTATTATTATTAACTTCATTTACATGTAAGGATGCTGAAGCACTAAAATCAGTTAAATCATTTGCCAGAAAACAAAGATGCTAGGTTGGGGGTGGGTGGGGATGGGTGGGTAGGAGAGAGAGAGAGAGAGAGAGAGAAAGGGAAAGGGAAAGGGATAGAGTCAGGGAGCGAGATAGAGAAACAGAGACAGACATATAGCAGACATATAAAAACACAGCTAAAATCTTGGGTCTCCTTTCCTAAGTTGCTATTCTTATGAAAACCAAACGGAAGGTATCTAGCACAGTGCTCAATAGAGATTTCCCTCCATTCTTCCTTCCTTTCCCAACTCGTCTGTTTCTTCTTAAACAGAAACAGACCTAGTTTATATTCATTCACATCCCTAAACCACCTTTCCTACAAACTTCCACTTAAGTTAACTGTATTTGTTTTAACACTGTTCCAACCAAGTAGCCTTACATTAGGAAATTATGCCTTTGTCTTTTCCAAGTCAATTGTTTTGATGGAATTCCATCAGAAGAAACTTGCAATTTAAAAATGCTAGAAACTTAGAGAACACTCACTATACTTTTTAAATCGTTACTAAGAACTCACTTTTATCCTAAATTTCCCTGCATCTTATATGTATAAAATGTCAGGAAAGGAAAACCTCTAAGTCAAGAGACTTGAGTTCCAATTCTACTCAGGCCAATAATTAGGCCAGCAACCTGAAGGTGGTGGTACTGTCTCTTTAGCAAAAGAGGTACTGATAGGTCCCACCTAGCTCCAAAATTCTACAGCCTCTTGCACAAACCTAAAAATGAACAATTCACAGGCAATTTCATGCATCAATGATGTTTCCTTTGACTGAAATCTCCCATTTCCCCCTTGCCCTCTTAAGAGCTCTTGTTCACCTTCCATTAAACATCACCTACTTCTTTCATGAAACCTTCCTGTAGCCTAAATAGAAAAAATTGCTCCATATACTCTGGGCCCCCATGGTTGTACTGCATGCATTACAGATGACTATTTATATACTGTCTGTCATCTCTGGAGTCCCACATCTTGCACGAAGCCTGGCACACAGCAGGTGCTGAGGATGTGTTTGAAGATTTGAGTCTACAAAATTAAATTAGGTTCCTGTGAAGTATCTGCATCCACCATGAGAGTTTAACTTAATCTGAAAACACCCAGAGGCCAATCTGTAGCATAACCAAAGCTCTGTCCCAGGAAGACCCACATATGCAGTGCAAATTTATCCTGAGCATTTGTACAAAAGCTACACAAAGGTATCATTCCTGCAGATGATCTGGGGACCTTCTGGGGATTACTCTCATCTACCTAATCAACTCCCTATGCAAAAACCTCTTTCTCTGCTCACTTTGTTCCATGGCATTTATTACCATCTACCATCCTATATAATTTATTGGTGTTTAGTGTTTATGGCCGCTTACCAGAACATAAGCTCCACTGATGCAGGAAGTTTTTGCTGTTTTGTCATAAATGATACCCAGTGTCTATACCAGTGCCTGGCACACTTAATTATTTTTTTAAGTCAGTAATTCTTTCCTTCTGTCTTACAGCCCTCAAGAGTCATGAGTCATCACCTTCATAACCCTATCTCGCATTGCCCTTATTTCCTCTGCCCCATCCACTTATAGTAGTAGCCTTCCCAGTAAGCTTCCAAGAACTAGAGGAAAATATTTGTATTTAATTCCTAAATTGTAACTCTTTCTTTCTCTGTCCACCTCTTAGTACAGAAATTATATTCAGGACACTATAGCAAATAACAAAGATGAAATAAAAAAAACTTGGTTCTTTCACTTCTGATAATAATAATTTCTATGTGGTCTTGTCTTTGGATTTTAAACAACTGGTGGCCAAAGACTAAAACTAAAACTGCTGGATTAGCTTTTTTTTATTGTCAATCACTTGGGCTAAATATATTGAGAATATATTAACTGGCACATGTGACCTAACTGAAAAATTGTGCCCCAAATAGTGCAAATTCTCTAAGGTACTACATATATTAGTTACAGCAAGATTTTTTTATGTAGCTAACATCCTTCAGGAGACATGAACTAATCCATCACATTTCTGAATCTATTAAATACCGAAACATATAAAAATAGGACATTATTGTATTGGTATTCAGAAAATATTGCTAGGATCTTCTCCATTCCCTAGTTTCAGACAAATATGGCTCTTCCCTGCTTCAACCAATTTAGTTTGTGAGTTCCAAGAGACACAAGCCCATCAGCAGCAGTCATGGACATCTACATTGCTATTTCAAATACAGCTTTTGGGGCTGGCCAGTTAGTTCACTTAGAATATGGTGCTGATAACACCAAGGTGAAGGGTTCAGATCCCCAAACTGGTCAGCTGCCAAAAAAAGAACAACAAAAAAACCAAATTAAATACAGCTTTGCAATTTCTTGAAGACAATCAAACATCAGCAATGTAAAATTACACTCAAGATGAGAAACTTCAAGCTGAGATGCCTGGATATGTTGATTAGAATGAAAATAAAATAGAATAAAGTCTATTTTAAAGTCACCCCCCTCTCATCTATCACTGCCTCAATCTAACAAACTCAGAATCAACTTCGAGGAAGAGCCTAAGAATGGAGTTAGCAAGCTCAAACACGTAAGGCAGGTTGACACAAGCCAGGCCCCTTGTGCATATCAGAAATACAAGTTATTAGCAAAGTCTGCCTGGCAGGTAGCCTTCTGTGATCGCTCAGTTTTGCTTAAACATCCTAAAAAGAAATAATATTGTGGGTATGAGCATGTGAAAATAAGAGTTAATTATATTCTCAGGATTCAGACGCCAATGTGATGACCAAAAATTATGGGAAGTGGAGAAAGAAGAGAAACCGGAACAGAAAATAATCTTTAAATGCTATTTCTTCACAACAGTAAAGGAATGTATGGGGTGGGTTTCAACCTCTGAGTTTTAATTAGCTTTCTAAACACTGACTAAACATGGGAGAATCAAAACGAAGCCTTCAAAAGAGTTATTCCTCAAGGCGGAACGCCTGTTTTGGGAGGACCTGAGGCTTGTGCGCTGATCCATACCCCCATTTGGATTTCCCGTCTTTCTTCCTTTTTTCCACCTCGCCCCAAACTCGTCTGGAATAAACGATAAGTAAGTGAAATAATGACCAGCACTAAATGTGACGCCAAAGTTGGTATTTATAATTTACAAAACAACTCCCCAGTGGACCTAATCAACCCAGGGCACACTACCCAGACACTACGTGGTGGTTGTCTAAAAAGATAAAACCGATACTCATCAGAGAAGCACTCTGGAAGGAAGGGCGCCTCGGGGAAGAAGGGGGCTGCTCCAAATCCCTTTCCCCAAGACTCCAGGCTGCAACCAGGGGACCCTAACCAGCAAGCAGAATTGTATCAGTGTTACATTCACAGGACTTGTTACTCCAACTTCCCACCCCGAAGACCTAAGAGGGTAGTTAAAAGGATGCTGGGATTGTTAAGGTCAGTAGGGGTTGGGGCGTCCCTTAAACCCCTACTGACCTTAACAGGATGACGGGGGCAAAGTCCGACGCTCTATCTTCCGTGCTTGAGACCCATAAAAGAGCAAGGGGCAGCTGAGACGCGACAGGAGACCGGGCACACGTTGGATACGGGTCATGCGGGAGAGTGGGAGGTATCTATGAAGAGCTCGCAGACAAACAAGCACGGGGGTAAGAGCGAAGGCAGAGGCTGGGGTGATGGAGAAATCAGGACACAGATGCCGGGGTGCATCGAGGGAAAGAGCCTCCTTAGGGCTGGAGGACTCCATGCATGCTCGAAGCCGGCCGGGGAGGCGGCGGTCAGGCAGCGCGAGCGCTCGGGGCAGTTCCTGGAACCCTACTCGGTGGGAACGCCCGGCCGGGTAGCGCGGGGCTCGGTCCGGCAGACCAGACGCCGGCGGCAGGCGGGGGCCCGCGGCCCAGGCCGCGTCCAAACAAAGCCGACGCGCGCGGGGCCTGGCTACTCACAACAAGAAGCTCATGTCGGCCGCGGCGTGGGCTGCGGGCTCGGCGGTCGCGAGGCCTGGGGGCGGCGGCGGCCTGGGGAGGAGAGAAGAGGAGAGGCGAGAGGAAGAAGCGGCGAGGAGGCGGAGGACGAGGAGGGGAGCGTCGGCTGTCCAGCGGCCCCAACTAGTCCGGCTTCGCTAGTTCCAATGGCTGGCGGAGGGGGCGGAAGTGGGAAGCGCACGGCTTGAATCACTCAATGGGAGGGGAAGGAAAGGGAGGCGGAGAAAGGGCCCCCGCCAGCTCGACGGAGAGCAGCGGCCGCGGCCGCCTCGCTGCTGTCCCTGCTCCCCTGCGCCCTCCTCTCCAGCACCTGTCGCCCCCACCTCGGAGCTCTCGCGAGAACGGCTGCCCTCCCCTGCTGCCCCTCCGCCTACGGCCGGGGGTCACCTTTGTGGCCGGGACCGTGCCCGGCGTATGCGTGGGGCCACCGAGGCCTCCTGCCCACCCGGGTGGGGGTCGTGACAGAGCTCTTGGAGACGCTCAGCTGGCGTCAGCGGTCAGGGAGGAAGTGGGCTTTGACTCCAGCACGTCAGGGTCCTGCAGTAATGGCTGCAATTACCACCAGAGTTCTGCCCACAGTTAGTGCCCAGCAAAGGACTATGGAAGGCTCTAGAATCTCTTTCTCTGCTATTATTTAAAAACAGGAGGGAGTTTCATCTGGTTGGAATGGTTCAGGTGTGGTTCTGCCAGGGAGAGAAAAGGGACTAAATGGGTTTTCAAGACTCTGTCATTTTATGGGCATATTTTAAAACCCTGAACTAGGAGGTTAGGATCTGTCACTGAACAGGCAATCTAGGCTGTCATCAGCAGCTGGGAAAACTGACCGACGCAAGGAGGAGAGCTGAGATCAGTTAGTTCACTGTGGACCCCAGCATGGTAGGCTACTCATCAGTGGCAACGCTGGTTTCATTTATGGGGCTAAAGCTCATTAAAAGCGGTATGGTGCTCAGAACATTCTAGAAGCTAGAAAAGATTCAGTCCCGCTTTATAGAGGGAATTTCATTCTCACACACTTAAGGAGCCCAAAGCAAGGCTTTATATTCTATTTAAGAATGCTCCACATACCTTGAGTATGTCACCACGGCATTTCAACTTAGAGGGGAGGATATGGGTACCCATTTATTTTACACAAGAGATGCCCGTCTTTATTTACAACACCCATCAAATCCACAAGTGAATTTTCAAAGAATCTGAACAAAACAAATAAGGTATGTGCAGATATTAACGTACCCTTGACTTACTCCAAAGGGCAGAATACACACTTGAAGTAGGTACAAATAGGAAATTTATTCTATTGAATTTATGCACTATTAGTTTGGCATGTTGGTAAAATGGTTAAGAAAAAATTAAATAGAAGATTGGAATCTTGCACTATCTCTGGAACGTCAGAGGTCACTGGAGTAATTTGAGATTTATAGGCTAAAATGATGCCAGGCAAGGAGGATTATCTTCATATAATGAAAATGATGAATTTATGATGTACCTAAGTCCTGTGTTCAAGATCTTGACATGATACTAACTTACTACATAATTCCTTAATTCTTTAAGGGCCTTCTGAAAGTAAGAGTTGAATTATCAGGTTAGGAAATTATGTTTCTGAAGACTGAGATAAACTGTCAGAGCCTGTTTCACCCCCTTTAAAATGAGGGCCCTGGATTTTTTTTTTTTTTTTTTTAAGATGACCGGTAAGGGGATCTCAACCCTTAGCTTGGTGTTGTCAACACCACACTCAGCCAGTGAGCTAACCGGCCATCCCTATATGGGATCCGAACCCGTGGCCTTGGTGTTATCAGCACCGCACTCTCCCAAGTGAGCCATGGGCCGGCCCGGCCCTGGATTATGACATGGATTATCTGCAAGTTCTAAAGTTCTGTCCCGCCAGGGTCATCCTTCAAATGTCTGGCACACAGTTCCCAACTGCTCCCTTGTTTGGCTTGGGAGGTGTCAATTAGTAGTAAGGAATATAATTCCAGAAGGTTAGACTTTAAATCAAACAATGGTTGTCACATAAAATTATTCAGCATATCAAAAACATTAGGAATTTCAGAATCAAAGAGAGGTTATATTCAAACAGATATTTATAATTCTAATTTCTTCTTCACCAATCCATATTTCATGCCACTCTCTTCCAAAAATTTCAATTTCAAGAAGTTACTCTCCTGATCAAAATCTTATAGCCCTTTGTTTATGAAGCAAGATTATTAAAATTTGTATTCTATCTAACAATTTTCCAACAAATTGGAATTATACTATACTGTGGACAGAATAGAAATTTAAATGTTGAGCTTCATCCTTGTTGTAATGAACAAGTAAATATATTCATATAAACAATCAAGACTATTATAAATGTGGTAAAAGCTATGAATTAAACACAGTAATATAATAGAGAGTAATGGTGAAGAAAGAGGAACTCAGATTAGGTTAGGTGAAGAAAGGCCTCTCTAAGGAGGTGATATTTTTACTGAGACTCAAAGGAAAAAGCCAGCCTTTTAAAGAGCTAGGGGAAGAGCATTTTCTGGTAGAGGGAATAGCAAGTGCTAAATGCTGTTAGACAAGGAAGAGCTTAAAGTGTTTTTGCACCTGACAGGTTACAGCCTGGGCAGAATGGGCAAGGAGAAGAAGGGCATCAGATGAGGCTGGACATGTAGACACTAGGCAGGCTGGGACTCTCAGGCCTAGACAAAGCATTTGGATTTTATTCTAAGAGCATTGAGAAGTCAGTAGAGAAGTAAGATAATAAGAGGATAAAATAAAATAATCTAAATAACATTTTATTTTTTAAAATTTGGAAAATCGGGCCGGCCCGGTGGTGCACTGCGCTAGTGCGCCGCTTGGGAAGCGCGGAGGCGCTCCCACCGAGGGTTCGGATCCCACATACAGACCGGTTCCCACTCACTGGCTGAGTGAGGTGCGGGAGGGACACCAAGGGTTGCGATCCCGTGGCTGGTCCCGGTCCGGTATGGGGGCGACACTGAGGGTTGCGATCCGTTGCCGGACACGGAAAAAGACAAAAAAAATAAAATAAAATAAAATAAATAAATAAAATTTGGAAAATTTCAGATATATCCAAAGGGGCAGAGATTAGTGCAATGAATTCATTATACAGCTTCATCAATTATCAACTCTTGACCCCTAATTAACATTTTAAATGATCATTCTCCCTTCTTGTGTAGAAAGGACTGGAGGCCGCTAACATGTCAGAAGGGAAGCCAGAAAACAGTTACAATAATCCAGTTGTTTCTTAACGATTGTGATTTGTCTTACGGTGGTGTCATTAATCATAGAAAGAAGGAATTTAAAATCTTGAGGTAAAACCAGCAGCACTTGGTGATTGATTGATTAATTGATTAATTGTGGGAGTTTGGAATAGGAAGGAGTCTGATGTTTTTGGCTTTAGCAACTGGTGGATGGTGGTGTCATTTATTGAGATAAAAAAGATATGACTCACAATTTGTGGGTAAAACCAAAAGTTTTGTTTTGGACGTGTTCACTTTGATATGTCTTTTAGACATCAAAATAGTGATACTTGTGCAGTTTAGACTGTTTTGTAAAGCCTGGGAGAAATCTGAACTAGAAGTACGAATGAATGCTGGAGTCCTCAACAACCAAGTGGTATTCAAAGCTATATGATGGGCTTTAAAATAGGAATTTTTATGCCAGTAAGAATAGACCTAGCAAAGTATTACCTTTAAGCATCTGTGCTGCTGCTTTATTTTTCTACCCAGATCGCTCAGATTCCTAATTACCATCTGCATTCTCTCCCTTCCCCCGAAAGTTAAGGTTTCTACTACCTGAAAAAAAATGGCTCATAGTACCTTTTTATCAGACAAATTAATCACTTCCAATGTGTTAATTAATATGTGACCCTTCCAGATAAAGTAATACCAGTTAAAGCCAAGCTTCCAAATAGTAGATGAGGGGAAATTTCTCCTTATGGAAGTATTTCAGTTAAAAACGAAGTAGGAATGATTGAATTAATATTAGAATATCACCATTTTTGCAGCCCGTAAGAGATGAATGGATCTAGGCATTGATCATCAATGGCTGCTAGTATCACAAGAGGGACTACAAACTTTATGTGTTTCCTGATTGAAGAATATGTCATCTCCTATGAAGAAATCTCGCAACAAAATAGAACCTGAATCTGATCAAGCCCCTAGATCCAGTTTATCAATTTACAGGAAATACAGATAAGAGAAGAATGTGGTAAAGAACATGTTAATTGCACTGCATGGAAGCAATCAGCAAAATCCAAACTGGAGAAACTATGTAGTACCCCATTTCTTCAACGAATGAATTGTAGGAAAAAATAGAGCTGAAAGAGAAACCTTGAGATTAAAAGAAACACAAGAAAAAATCAACCAATTTCAGTGTGTGGACTCATTTGCATCCTGATTGAAACAAGCAATCTGAAAAGCAGCAATAACAAATGTATGTGTCATTTATGAGACACTGAAAATTTGAACACTGACTGATATGTTTTGTTTTGTTTTGTTTGTTTGTTTGTTTGTTTTTAAAAAGATGACTGGTAAGGGGATCTTAACCCTTGACTTGGTGTTGTCAACACCATGCTCTCCCAAGTGAGCTCACCGGCCATCTCTATATAGGGATCCGAACCCTTGGCCTTGGTGTTATCAGCACCATACTCTCCCAATTGAGCCACAGGCCGGCCCCTGACTGGTATATTTTGTTACTAAGGACTTACTATTAAATGTGGTGATAATGCTGTAGTTACACTTCTCTTTGAGTCTTTATCTTTTAGAAACATATACTGAAATATTTACAGATAAAATAATATGCCTGGGATTTGCTTCAGAATATTATGGAAAGGGAAAGTGAGAGTATAGATGAAACAAAATTGGCCATGAATTGGTAATTGTTGAAACCAGGTAATGAGTATATAGGGATCATTACACTGTCTACTTTTGTTTAGTTTCTAAATTTTCTGTAATAAAAAGAATAAATGAACACAGGCCCTCTTTTGAAAAATCCCAGAAGAATTTATGTTAATGATAGGGGTTTAAAAGTTGCTGAAAATAAATAAGATTTTTTATGGAATAAAGGGCTCATTCCTTGCCCTCACATTAGCCAGCTTTTTTTGCTAATATATGATGATGTTCTTTTACCTATAAAAGTAAAAGCAGATGCTATTTATGCCAGAGGACAGAAAC